TATATACAGGCACTTGTACATACTCGTTTTGGACCTTCAGTCTAAAATCGACCTGAAATGCCCCCTAGAGACTTCCTGCTCACTGCCTCTGAAATTAAGGACCAAATGGACAAACAGCAATGGCACAGCGCTCCGCATGAGTCGCTGAGGCCAAGGTCCCTCCTTGCTAAGTCTTTGGTTCCCCTCCAGAATCATCTGCCCTTGCCCAGTTCTAACACTAAAAGGCTGATGGTCATAGTGTGTGTCAATTAGAGCTAGGGTGGATAGCAATGGAAGGTCCAGGATATGATAGTAAGGGATGAACCTTAGTTACCTCACAATTCTAATGATAGTGATACTTGTGTTCATTTATTTATTTGTTTGTGCTGAGAATTGTAAACTAGGGAGGCAAGGATAAAACACTGAAATATCAAGGTGGTGGTACTGGAGTGGCATCAGAGTTAATGTCAGAGGAGGTACATAGTAGTCTGAAGTTGGGGGTAGTATCTGACATGTTACAGGAATGGGTTCCAGGGAACCCAACCTGAGCCGTTCTGCTCATGGACAGAGGTGACTGCATAGCCGTTGAAGGGAGAGCAGGAGGAGATCTGAGGCCGGGTGTGCTAATGGTAACTTGACGCTCCGAGGAGCATACTGGCAGTGGGTGTGGTGACATGCTAGCGGTAACTTGGCACTCTGAGGAGCGTACCGGCAGTGGGTATAATGGGGGCTCCTTGAGGGAGCCACCTAACAGTTGGCTAGTGGCAACTTGGCGCTCTGAGGAGTGTACCAGCAGTGGGTATAATGGGGGCTCCTTGAGGGAGCCATCTAACAGTTGGCTAGCAGTGACTTGGCGCTCATGTGAGCATACCAGTAGCGTGGGTAGTTGGCACTCCTTGAGGGAGTAGCCCAGTGGTTGTCTATCGGTTACTTGGCACTCAAGGGAGCGTACCAGTAGCAGGATTTGTTGGGACAGGCAGGTTGGTTGACCAGTGCATGGTAGTGAGTGACCATGGGAATTTGGGCCCATGGGTACGTAGCCAGGCATCCTGGGACTGCCTGAGTCACTTCTCCCTCCCAAGAAGGGAGGAAGGGTCATAGGACCCAGTAGGGTACTACAGGAAGGATAGGAATGGGGGCTCGGCCACCGAGTGGGGGGGTGGGAGCAGGAAGAGTGAGGTCCAGTGTCTGAGCACTCACTGGGCCATTGAGGTTTTCTCACAGATTGTAAGAGTATCAATGTAGACATCGATATGGACCAAGTCAGATGTTACAGAGAAGGCTTACAGTGGTGGCACAATGGTGTGGCAGTTACAATCATGGTACAAGGTTTTGTGGGTTATGTATTAGATAAGGAAAGACATTTTTCGGCATCTGCCTTACACATCATATGACTTCTAACTATCTAATATAAAAGTCACAATGGTCAAGGGAAGTCCCTTGAAACTCAACAAATTCCCCAGCCAGCACCAAAACCCAGTGGGAAAGCTTGGCATGGGCTTTGACAATGAAATAAAGGTGCAGGGATCAAAGGTTTGATTGTTCATAGTCACGGACCATAAGATTCTAGGTCCATTCCTATAACATGACAGCTGTAGCAAGTGGCATGTCCCTTGCTTTTGTTATCAACTAGGTTACTGGACATAGTATTGTATCAATTCCTGTAATAATTGTGATCGAGTTCATGACTGCCTGCTTGCTCATAGCGCTAGGAATCCATGAATGCTTGTAACACTTGATTGAACAATGGAAATCCCCCCTCTGCTCTGACCATCTGCACATCATATTCAACTGATAACCCTACATCAGTGTGGCAGCATTGAGTGTCAAATTCTTGTAACAGAGCAAAATAACAAGCACACAGAAGCTGTTACATAAATGGCCTTTGGAGTTCATGTGTTACAAAAATGGGGCCTGAGGCACCCATTTTTGTCCATTCTAGGTGCAGGACAAGGGGGAAGTGTTATGATGGAACACATGACAGGTGTGCCCAAACCTTAACCCTGGAAGTGGGAGTGGAGTGAGAGGATGTTGTAGGGCACAGCAAGTACTACACAAACAAGGCCAGAATCGCGTTTTTCAAGGCTCCAATGAGCACCCTCAAGCCTCCGACACAGTCCCAACACCCACGACACACTTTCACATTTTTTCCATTTTTTCCATCCTTTTTTGCTCATGACTTCTGTTGCCACTCCCCCAAATTTCACGGTTATCTACCATTTTCCCCATATCTCCACCAAATTCCCACTGATTCACATGATTTTGAGCTCGATGGACAGCGACAGATCAGGAGAAAGAGTAATGGTATGGGAGTTCGGATGACGGATATGCAGTGGAAAAGTGAGATTGATGGTTGATATTGACTTCATGGGTTTAGTTATTAGTTTCATTGTCACCTTATGGTCTACCTTTTTGCCTTATTGTTCTTTAGCCGAGCTGCTAACATTCTTCCTGTTTCCATTGCCACCATCTATCGCTTATTTTCCTTGTTTTTTTTTTGTTCTGATTCATCTTTTTTTCTATACATACACCCAGTTTACCTTGTACTTACAGTTGTTGGACCCCCCTTCTGTGCTACAAAGAATGTGGTGTTGAGCAATCCATCCATATGCTGAGGAAGTTCAGTGTGACTCCCTGATGACTGTCCAAGAAGGACCAGGGGTGAGTACTTTTTTATTGATTGTTGTCTAGCACCCAGACCACAGCACAGTATTGGCACTGTCACCATTTCCCTCCTTCCAACCCAACTCAGACTCTACCCCCAGGGCCCTACTCTCTTGCCTGGGCAGCCATTCTTCCTGGTTACAACATGTGGAGGGGCCTTGGCCTTAGCGACTCAGAAGGGAGCCCTGTGCCTACATTCACTTCATGCTGGCATTTGGCCCTTAATTTCAGAATGGGTACATGCAAACTTTGGGGGGGATCCTGGGTGGTCGATTTTTCACTGAAGTGCCATCAACTATGGTACATGATTATATACAGAATGTATAACAAATAGGAGGACAAATGGAGGACAAAGGGAAACCCAAGGTGGGTGTTACCCACAAGCTGGACCAAAGCATTCGTGAGAGAATCACCTTATTGAGACTTGTGGAGTGGGTACACAAAGGGTAGCATTAGCGACAGCTACTAGAATGGTGGAAAACCCTTTGCAGGTGTGGCAGAGGTCCTTGGAGGTCCATAGTAATATTGTGTGGGTAGAAATATTAATATTATTGTAAGATGAGGGGAGGGGGTACCAGAGAGGGTACCGGAGATAGGAGGCAGAGGTGTACCAGAGACAAACTGGAGGTGGACTGGAAGTGAACCGGAACGGTGGCAGAGGAGGTTGGAGGTCAAGTGGAGTTGACATGGATATGACAGGAAGAGAGGGAAAGTGGTTCATAATGTTTTACAGATGTTAGCACAGGTGGTTTGACATTTGTTGTAACAAGCAGGTGTTTTGGTTGGTAATTGATTGGCTAACATTCAATATTATCATGAGCATCCATGGGTGTCCATGAGCACCCATGAGCACCCATGAGCACCCATGAGAGTCCAGGAATGCCCATGGGTATCCATGGATGCCAAGGAAACCTGTGACTACCCATGAGAATCCAGACCTCTGAAACATAAGATTGCATGAACATCCATGGGTGTCCCTGAACATCCACAGAAGCCCATGACCACCCATGGGAGGCTGTAAAAGTCATGCAATTTGTCAGAAAATCCATGAAAATCCACGAAATTTCAAAAAATCCCATGGAGCATCTATGACTTTTCACAAGTTACTGAGCTTTTGGACTAGTGGACCTCCCCCTGCTTTCCTGTTTTGTCAGGAGTACGCTGGAGCATTGTGAGGTCCTTAGGGCTCACTCAGGTCACCAGGCTGAAGTGTTATGGAAATGGGAAATTTCCCAATTTAGACTCTTATGGGCCCTGCAAACACCCAAATCACATGATATGTAAATAAATAGAGTTTATCCAACTATTACCATCTGAAAACCTGTTTGTTAAACTATCTGTTAAACTTCATGTTACAACATCTATAACAACATCTGTAACTTCTTATGAACCCTCTTCCCCAACCTTTCCCCTTTCCTGTGCCTTGAATGGATGAAAATGGGCACCTCCAGCCCCATTTTTGTAACATGAAGTGTCACAATGGTGTAGTATTATGGTGATGATAAGCAATAGTTAAAACTATTGCTTAGTCACATGACTCTATATACATCATTGTTACATGTGACTAAGGGGCACAGGGCTTGTGCCCTAACAAGCACCCCCCTTGTCATATCCATCCCTGGCCATCGACTTCCGATCCCTCCGATTCCTCTGGTCTACTTCCGCTCCTTCCTCACTAACCTTGGAGCTCCCGTATTCCGCAACCCCCTCAGAACCCCTTGATGGTCACCACCCCCTCCTTTATTACCTATGCCTCCCTAAGTACGGAGCCCCAAAGGCTTCTGGACAGCTCCGACGTCCGCTAGCGCACTCCTGCCTCTGCTGGACAATACACTTGCTTGCCCTGCAAAGCCCACCTTCGGGCCTATCCCTCCTTTCCATTTCTGGGTTATCGCCTGCCTTTCCGCTAACCCCATAACCCAACTCGTCGGTAATATTCAATTGGCTAATGTCTAAACCCCGTTGGCTCCGCTCCGCTCGGCTCCGCCATTTGTGGACCCGCCCTCGCTGTAACTATATATACTTAACTTGTACATAGGTTACACTCCAGTAATAAAATCGACTAGAGTTTACCCTCTTCAGTTCTGGTGGCCAGTTAGTAAGTTAGGGCACGGACATGTTTACTAGGCACAGCGCTCCTGGCATAAGTCACTGAGGCCGAAGCCCTCCGTCATGGAGACACTCCCTCGTCTTGACCAGGTCTCTGACACCCCTCATGTTTGCCCCCACTTGTTCCACCATCCCGAGCCTCTTCAATATTGTCTGTCAGGCAATCACAAATCCCAATACTCTTGCACATTTTATAAGGGAGGATGACTTGCTACTTGGTTGACATCTACATTGTCAAGTTCTGATAATTACATTGGAGTGGGTATAGATACTGCTGGCTGGAAATCATCTGGAAACAGTGATGTAGCATGTAAGCATCCATTCCTTGAGCTGCTGCCTGAGTTCATCAATGGATCAAATGTGGGGAGGACAGGACTATGGATGGAAGTGTGTCCCCCAGCAACTGACTGAGTGGCCATGGGTGTTCTAGGAAAATCCTACTCCTAACAATTAAAAGGGGATATTGAGGTGAACAACAGCAACATACAGGCAGTGAGTCTAATGTGCTATCATTTTCCTCATGAACAACATCCAGTGTGAAATCTTTGCATCTAATGTTCCACCCTGAGGATTAGCATGTGAAAACCCACAAGGCAGATTACTCACTGAACATCCATGCATAGTAGGTCCTTACTAGCTTTAGGTCCATTTGAACTCCAATCTGGGGATAGATGACACTTGTTGAACAGATGTGTCAAAGAAGACCATTGGAGCATCTGAATGCAATGGAGTACTCCAGCCTCTTTGGTCATGGTATCTTTCATGTTGAAGCCCCCCTGCAGTGTGATGACAGAAGTTATGCTGAGAAGGAGCATGGAAAAACAGCCAAAGTAAAGTTGGGTACTGTGGATGGTGAATCGTGCAGAGAGCACCTGATTTGAACCATGGACTATGCCTTGGAGTGGTTGCCAAGAAAGACCATTGATGGGGTCCTGATTCTCATATTTTGTATGCCAATGTTGGTCAAGCATTGCCACATAAGTTGCAGTGAACAGACCAAGCTGATTACCAAGTGCAGATATTTCGCCACCAGCAGCAGCAACTCCATTATAAATTAAGTCCCCTACCCAGTCATTTGAATTGCAATATTGCCTTGAAGCAGATATTTGGGTATTCAACAATAGGTATATTAGGCCATCCCAAGTTTTTTCAATGATGTGTGTTGGTTCTTGAGCCCGAATGTATCCTGGTGAGGGATCATGTGTTTCTGCCACAGCAGGGACAAATGCCTCCAACTTATTATCTAAAGTCACAACAGCAGTGCCATTGAGGATGTGGAGTGCACATGCCACAGGCCAAAGATACAGTGTGAAATTCAGAGTCTCCAGCTTCTTTGTTGCATTGATGTAGTGGTCAAGTTCACTTGGAGCTGGTTTAGGAAGTGAGTAATGAGTGCATTCTAGTCCTGGATTGGACTCACAAACACTATCATTTTGAATATATGTCCACATTTGCACAGGCATGGTGAGATTATAAGAACCTATCAATGGCACTCCTCTCTCCACAAGTGCATATGGACTTGATGATATGTGAACCATAGAAAGCACCCCAGTGTGATCAAGTTCCAGAGGCTCAAGCAATACAAGTAGATCTTCAACTAAGTCTATTTCAAGGACCATCCTGGCCAGTGGCAGCATTGATACTTACAAGGGATTTCTGGGGGTGATGACTCATTCTGTTTCTGTGATATGGGAGAAACTAAATGATCACAAGTGACCCCAACTGGCCAAGCATAGGTTGTGACCAAACCCGGATATGGGTAAACATGAGTAGTTAAATTCAGGAAAAAATGATAATTTGTTGTATAATTGTTCTGAGTGCCTTGTAAGCCAATTTCAGATAGAGACCATAATTTTACTTCACAAGAAAAGAGTATCCAGTATATGGGTTTTCTGTTGGCTGAGGTATTGTTTTGCATGATGCAGTGTACTTTGTTGCATATGGGTCAATGAAGGTTCCCCTTTGAGATTCTGGAGCACTGAGTTTGCTAAAGAGGATACTGAATGAAACATGAGTGAAAAGGCTTTGTGAAAAGATAAAGTCCTTACCTTTGTTTCCAGCCAAGAGGATTTGGGTCAAATAAGGCATTAATTAGCACATATGGTGCAGCTGAAAGGACATCTGCTATGTCATCACTGAACCAGTGTGAAGAGAATGAGATGTTGTTCCAGAGACCTGGGATTTTATCAGCCATAAGTTGTTGTCTGGGGATTGAAACATTAAATGCGTCAGTTGTTACAATGGCTGGTATTGTGATGTGTGTGACCATGACCCCAGACAGGAAAACAAATATCCAGATCAGGTGGAGTTGATTGAAAACTGACATTGAGACCTTTGAGAGGGAGAAGAAACAAAAACCAAGCCCTTGACGCCAGGCTCCTAGTCTGTAATGTAGTGCTCCTAAGGACATCCCTGAAATTAAGGTGATTAGGTGATCGGTTCAATGCAAGCAAAGTGTGAGAAAGGAATGTACTTTTCTGTAGTGATCCATTGCAGGCAAGTGATGAGATGGATAGGGTGACTAATCCCAACACTATAACTGAGAAACCCTGCTCAGAGATCAGCAAGATCTGGTTCATTAGGCCCAGGTGGTTGATGTTAAAGTACAGATGATCCAAAACATGGGTTCTGGACAATATCACCAGGGCTACATGAAAGATTATTAGTGCAGACATGCCTCCTGCACCCATCACCCACAGATCCATCAGGTGAGTAGAGTGAAGCACCTCAGGAGTCCCCAACTTGGATAGGTGCTGTTGGGTCCAAACTCTGTCAAGTGGCTCACACACAGTATGTGATTCCAATGGTTGCTGTGCAAGAGCTATTCAGGGCTGATTGTAGCATCAGGCTGAAAATTTTTCTTACCAACATGGATTGAGATTGGAAGGAAAGACTTCCTCCTGAATATCTGCCAATGAGTGGTCAAGTTACAATGTTTCACACGCAGGACTCCAGCACTCACTGAGCAATAGCATTACATATTTGTCTGTAGTCCAACATATTGGAGCAGTGATGCAACATGACACCAGAATTGGACTCAGAACCAGCAAGCAGGGTGATCATGTCAAAGAGGCCACCATCATGGACAATCTGCTCCAAGTGTGGCTTATCCACTGCCCCCACCACAATGAATGCATCCCAAACAATGAAGAAGGAGATAACAATGGCACATGCAGAGAACACATTGACAATGATTAGGGGAACATAGGAGACCTGGGCAATGGCTTGAATAGAATGATAAACTCCAGTGGTATTGGTGTAAACAGGCATCCAATTGCCTTTCTCCAACAGGTAAGTCTGATTGAAGTACTGTTGGTATTGCCAACTCATTCGGACAAGACCCAATGAAAGGGCAGCATATGAGCCAAGTTGTTCTTCTAGTCCCAGAAAATCCAAAGATGGGGATGTGGAGTTCAGTGAGGTGGAAGTGAGAGCTGAAAGGGTGGTTTGTGTGAAAGGTGGCATTGCTGTCAGTACAGTGTAGACCTCTCCATTTGTCGTATCATGTAGCTCAAGAGTTTGAGCTGGGGTTTCCAAGAGTAATTCATCAACATTGATCAACATCAGTAAGAAGCCAAAAGATTTTTCCACCATGTTGGTTGGATCCAACTTCTGCTCAAAGGGAATCTCAGGGTGCTTTGGCTGGGAGTTGTATCCATGTATGTCAGAAATCCCAAGCAGTTTCTGATCAGATCCTGATACATGTGCAGTTAGATTTTGTGTATACATTGCACATCCAATTGGCCATATATTGAATGTAATGTTGACAGACTCCAAGGCAACCTTTTTCCTGGCTTGAAAGAACTAGTTAACATGGAATTAGTCATAGTATTGGAAGACATACTTGAATGAGCAGTTGACACAGATGTATAAACTTGGACCTCTTTTGTGAGATGAATGGGAGAGCCTTGCCTGTCATCACCTAAAGTGTAGTTTCTTGTAGTAACAAGTGCCATTGCTAAACTGCCAGTTTCCATAATGTTATCCGTATGTGGGGAAAGAATGAATAATGTATCATTGACTTGAAGAGTCAAGCATGTATGTTTGACATGAAATCAGCACATGTAATGGAGAATTGTTTGTGTATTACATACACCAGAATGGTGGTGGTGAAGCTGGACTAGGCTTCTCACCACCAAGCACAAAACTTCCTGAGTTGTGATTCATTATAGTTACCATGAATGGTGGATAGTTCCCATAGATTAGTGGGGTTCCAGGAATGGGGGTGAACTTGGGGTTGAGCTGGAAGAGTATGAATGCACCATTTGGATCATGTTTTCTAGGCCCTGCAAATCAATGTTTGTAAATCAAATGTAGTGCCAATGAGTGTGATGCACCTCTGTAGTAATCAAAATCAAAGGCATCACCAGGAGTGCGAGGAATGATTCCACATTTGGCACTCAATTTCAGAGCTGTGGGATCCTCAAACTCTACACCTTCCAAATTTTGATCCATTGTACCAAAAAGGATTCTGATATAAACCTCAACAGATGCTGACCCCAGAAATAGCAAGGATGAGCATACGTATTGTTCACTCCAGTGGGTCCACCAGCAATAGCATAGCTCCTCTGCTGGTATAGATAGTCAGCTGCACTGTATGCTCTAATTTCTAACACGGTTGGAACTGCCTGATCACTTAGGGTGATGTTACCTGGCATAGTGTTTATGGTGAGTTGTATCTGTTGTTGTGTGTCCACCACATCCACTGAGAACAAGGAAGGTGTCACAATGTGTAACACAAAGATAGAGCTGTAAAAAATGAGTGCAGGGAATAACTGATAACAGACAGGGAAGGCATAGTTCTTGCTGTACCAGACAGCACGAACCGATGACCCAAGGCCTCGCCAGGCTTCAACACTGTCATGAAGCACAACAACTGCTTGACCTACATCATATCCTTGTTTGCATAATGGCCTGCACATCACAACATCTGAAACTCACATCGTCGTATTGTGGAATTGACTGCTATTGTTTGGATCCCATATGAAAGCAGTGCAAGGAGCACCACAATGATAGCCTGTGGGACAAGTGACAAGATCTGTGTTGCAAACCTGATCTGTGCAATGTCAAATTTTTGTTGTTCCAGAAAGGATGAACCCATCAAGAAGTCAAGGACCCCAAGAAAGGCCAATAAGCCACTGGATGCAAAAGTGCATGCCATGACATGAAGTTGTAGAGACTTAGGAATGAGCATTTTTGGTGATATGCATTGTGGAGACATGTCTTATAAGGGTCCCAATCCTGTGTGGGAGGAGCACCATCACAATGATGACAGTCCATCTGCTGATGGTGAGGTGATAGTAACATACAATAGGTATTCATGAGGTGGCTTAATTATATGGTTGTTCACATCAATTGCCGCTGATGAATAGTTGCTTCAGTCTCAGAACCCTAGAATGTATCCTGTTGGCCAGAGTGATCAGTCAATAGTGGATCTGAGAATGCAGGCCATACATCAGCTGGATCATTTGAAGACCCCCAATCATCATGCTAATTGGTATGGCATCCTGAATCAAGAATTACACCTTGAATCCAGCTGTTCTGGATGATGTTATCCTACACAAGGTGTATTTTGGTGTGAAGCCAGGCTACAGCCTCTTTTGGATCATATGGCATGGGCTGGTGATGAAAGAGATTTTTCTTGATGTCAGAGTTTCCCTCCTGGCTGCACCATGGTAATAGCATAGCCCCTTGCTGATTTAGCATCCATCTTGATCCAGAGCTGACTTGATCATCCCAATTGATCCTGATGTTGCCAATTTGTAAGGGTGTGAGTGTGAGCCTTGGATGGATGGATGGATTCATTTTAGAGTACGTAACCATGCCTATCGGCATATGCTGTACTATAGTGACTCAGGTGAAAAAAGTTTGGAGAACATAAGGATGTGAAGAAAGGAATTTGTTTGACCTAGGAAGTATGAGACATCGAGTAATCAATGGTGTGAAGGAGAATAAAGTGAGATGAAGCAATAACACATAAAGGGGCATGCGACCCCTGCACTGAGATTGAACAATGGGTGAGGGAGAATGGAGGTGGAAAGAGGTTGGATAGAGAAAAGGACACGCAACCCCCAGTGTTGGGGTTGCATGTTTTGCTGCTGTGTGCCTATGGTTAAGTCAATGTTTGAGTGTGCAGTTCTTGCGGGTGGGTGAGTTGGAGGGTGCTTTCACGGGTTTATGTCACGGTAGGCTGGTGAATGTTCCAGTGGCAGTGAAAGGCGATGGGTGTTGGTGGCATCTTGCTCATGCTTGTTGAATAAAGGCATGTGGCAGATAGGCCTTTGGTAGAAGGGGTAGTGGAGAGAAATGAAAGTGTTGGGGTGACGGCAGGACTTGAACCTGCATTCCTTGCAGTCAACTTTTTGTCAGCATATGGGGCTATCATTGGCGCTACCACTATCGCACCTCGTCACAAAGAGGTAGTGGAGGGAAAGATGAATCGGAAGGGTGTTGGGGTGATGGCAGGACTTGAACCTGCACTCCTCTGGCCTGCCCATGGACTTATGGAGGCTACCATTGGCGCTACCACTATTGCACCTCACCATCCCAAAAGGTAGTGGAGAAGAGAAAAAGAAGGAAGGGTTGGGGTGACGGTGGGACTTGAACCCACAGTCCTCTGGCCAGTCCCGTCTGGGCTTATGGAGGTCACCATTGGCATTGCCACTATCGCACTCATCATCCCAAAAAGGTAGTGGTGAGAAGAAAAAGGAAGGGTTGGCTTGACAGCGGGACATGCACCTGCGCTCTTGCATCTCTCCAGCCAGTGCGGCTCTGGGCTTATGGGGTTGCAGTTGATTGGCATTACCATGGTGGCCACATCATCCTCCCTTCAGATGTTAGAGGCCTAATTAGTTTTAAACAGGGGCACTGCATGAAGGTTTAGGCCCGTGCCGGGTGTTCACTGTGGTAGCAGAACTCCCCCTTGACTGACATCCATCGTCGAGGCCCAAGTGTGAGCCTTCACAGTATGTATATGTAGAGATAGTAGTCACATGAGAGAATGATGTTGATCATTATTCTACTGCACCAAAATAACACTATTTGTGACACTTACAGCCTGAGTGACCCTACAGACCTTACACTTTTTAAGTGCATCCTAGTGAGACCAGTGTTATAGAAATGGGAAATTCCCATTTTAGACTCTTATGGGCTCTGTGCACAGCCATATCACATGATTTGTAAAATAATTAGTTCTAACCAATCAATAAACTACTGTCAGGGGACAAACCCTGGGTCCCCATGACCCCTCTCTATGGCCCACAGCCTAACCTGTAAACACAGCCCATCTCAGGGCATAACTCTACTGTGGGTAAGAAAGTGGTATAAACAAGAAGCAAGTATCTACACTTGCCTACTGTGGGTAAGAAAGTGAGAAGAAGGTTAACATCTCACTTTCTCACAGTGGCCCCAATATGGCGAAAACTTCCAGGGATACCTGGTGTTAGAACTTGCAGATTCGGACGACTCCGGAGTGGAATCGGAGACTTAGCATGGAAGGACCTCGGCCTCAGCGACTCAGGTGGAGCGCTGTGCCATTGCTGGTTGTCCTGGGGGTCCCTAATTTCGGATCTAGCAGAGGGAAAGTCTCTTGGGGGAATTCAAGTCGATTTCGGACTGAGGTTACAAGTTACTAGGTACATTGTATATAAGGAGGGGTCCGGAATCAAAAGGAACAAGGGTAAGATGAAAGGAGACAAAGGGAGATGGAAAGAGGAACAACACCGAGGGTCAAGTGTTTGACTCAATGGTGTTTCCCAAAGGAGGAATGAAGGGCCAAGGCCCAAGGAGGAAGGAAGGAGGATGGGAGTCGGGAATGGCTAGCTGACTGAATAGAAGGAAGCAGCAGCCCAAATAGGAATGAGGGAGAATAGCGGAATTGAAATGGACAATGCAATAGTTGCAAGGTCCGGAGTAAGTCCGGAAAGTCCGAACTCGGAGGTTAAACTCCGGAATATTGGCAAACATAATTAAATGGAATGAGCTAACCAATACAATGGGTATAAGCGGAGGTGGGGTCAAAGTCCGAGGTCGGAGCTAAGACCGGAGGTTCCGGAGATGGAGACGCAAACAGGATTCCAGAGTGGAGGTCCGGAGTCGGGAACATAGGTGTTGCATGCTTGTCTGGAAGGTGTTGAGGATGAGGTTGGACCTGGAATGTTCTGGAGTCGGACCAAAGGTGGTGTTGGAGCCGGAGGTGGGATAACCTCTTGGAAGTCGGCAAAGAGGAGGTGGCAGAAGGGAAGCAGGACTCTGGAAGTCAGGTTCGGAGTTCCGGGAGCCCGGAGCGGAGGTCAGGATTGTATGGATATGACACCTGGAAGTCACATGAGGGCAGGATCATGTGGCACATGGAGTGTGCGGCACAGGAAGTGCACATGGGAAGTGTAGTGGGTCCGGATGTGGGTCCGGATCCAGGCTAGTCAGGGTGTGTGCCCTGACAACTACCAAAAATCCCATTGCAACACTACCTGTTTGTAAGGAGTGGTAACCCCATCCCTTATTTCCCTTTCTGTCATGAACGTCTTTCCTTAAAGGATAGGTCAATTGCTATCCAGGCAATGCTGTCAGGTGGAGCTTGATGTTTCGGGTTGCCTGCCAGTGGGTTGGAGACAGACCGGAGGTGGGGCAGAGCTCCAAGGGTGATGGGGTGTTGAAGGGACTCGGCTTCAGTGACTCAGAACGGAGCGCTACACCCAGTACATTCTTGTTGTCCCCATTTGTCAGGGGAGCTGGTGACAGAGGAACCAAGGCCACCAGCAGAAGGGGGCCAGAGGCCCCCCCCCTCACTACTTTAATGGAGGAGGCGTTAGCGAGGGTCAATCATTCATCACGCAATTCATTGGGGGGAGCAGGGTAGAGCAGGGTGGCACAGGATGCGGCACAGGGTCAGGCAGGGTATGTGTTACAGGAATGGGTTCCGGGGAACCCAACCTGAACTGTTCAGCTCACTAATGGAGGTGGCTGCGTAGCCATCGGAGGGAGAGCAGAATGGGATGAGTGTCTGGAAGTACAACCTGTGGGTTGGCCAACGGTGACTTGGCGCTCCTGGGAGCATGCCGGTAGCGGGTGTGCTGGGAGTGGTCAGCTAGCGGTGACTTGGCACTCAATGGAGCATACCGGTAGTGTGGGATACTGGGACTCCCAAAGGGAGTCACCCAGTTGGTGGCTATCGGTGACTTGGCACTCATGGGAGTGTACCAGTAGTGGGAGTTGTTGGGGAAAGTGGGCTGGTGGACCAGTGCACGGTAGTGGGTGACCGTGGGAAGTGGGACCTGTGGGTGTGGGGCCAGGCATCCTGGAGCTGCCTGGACCATATCCCTCTCCTAAGGAGGTGGGATAGGTTACAGTTCCTGATAGGGAACTTCTGGTTTGATGGGAGTGACCGCTCAACCACCTGGTGGACTGGTGGGAGTGGGCAGCAGGAGGTTGGGCATGGGAATGCCCTCCTCATTGCGGTTTTGTCATGGAGAGGATGAATAGGGAGGTGGACATGGTTCCAGGGTTACAGGTTGAGTTTACAGTGGTGGCACAATGGTGAGGATGTTACAATCGCAGTACAAGGTTTGTGGGTTATGTATTTGATAATGAAAAACATCTCGGCATTTGCCATACATGCCATATGACTTGTATCTATCTAATACAAAGGTTTAATGGCCAAGGGAAGTCCCTTGGAGATCAACAAATCCCCCAGCCAGCACCAAAACCCAGTGGGAAAGCTTGGCATGGGGTTTGACAATGAAATAAAGGTGGAGGGACCGAAGGTTTGAATGTTCAGTCATGGACCATAAGATTCTAAGTCCATTCCTATAACAGTATGCCCTGACATCACCACCTTCTGTCACCTCCAGCCATCCCAGATTGCCTCCACTCCTTCGTCCCCAACCTCAGAGCCCCCAGATCCTGCAGTATCCTCTGACTCCCCCAATGGTCACCACCCACCCATTTCAATATATTACCTACACCTCCCTAAGTATGGAACCCTGATGTTAGAACTGGGCAAGGGCAGACGATTCCAGAGGGGAACTGGAGACTTATGTTAGAACTGGGCGAGGGTGGACGATTCCAGAGGGGAACCAGAGAATTAGCAAGGAGGGACCTTGGCCTCAGCGACTCAAGTGGAGCACCGTGCCATTGCTGTTTGTCCATTTGGTCCTTAATTTC